GCCCTGCATTGAGATCTTAGCCCCACACCTGGAGATTCTTTGATCTCAGAAAGGAGGACCTAAAACCAGATCCAGGAATCCTGATAACAACTTAGTGGGCTCCCTCTACTGAGTGAGGGTTTTCCCCAAGTGGCCTTCTCTACACAGAGGTAAGGTGTGACTTGTTGTTGCTCCCCCTCACCCTGAACTGTTCTCACCCACACAGAGGGCCAGAGCTTTGGGGAGTGTGCATGCGATGCTCCCTGGCTTCCAGATAGAATTGTCGTATGGATTTCCTCTATGGGGTGGTCCACTGCAGCAAGAAATCAGGTGAGAGGAGTGAAACGTGTGGGCTTCTGATATCACCTGCTCCCAGGATTCCCCTCCCTCCCTTCTCCTGCCTTCTTCCCTGTCCCTTCCTTCCTATTTCTTTTTTTTCCCCCAGGCAACTGTCTCATCAATTTATCTCGAGTCTCTTATCACATAAAAATCAGGTTTTTGCTAGTTTTTCTTGAGTCTATAGAGCAGATGAGATTTGACATTTACTTGTTTTCTAGAGGAAATCTTTCCCCAAAGATATTCAGTCCTAGCTTGTATGTTGTTTGTCTTTCTGCTACAGAATCTTTATAGACTCTAAATTGATTTCTCTTCCCTGCCCAGAAAAGGCATATCTTTTTGCGGTCCATACTTCTGATGTGTATGTAGATGTACATGGACATTCTTATACACATGGGTTTTATGAGTATATGCATATATGAGTATGCCTTTATGTATATTTTATATATGTATATATACAAATATATATTTATATAAATATATATACACACAAATATATATATATATATATATATATATATATATCTCCCAAGTGGATAGCTCTATAAATGCTTAGGAAGCAGGCATAGCCCTGTAACCAGTCTCAGCTCCAGAACTCCAGAACATTACCAGCATCCTGAAGCCCCTGCTCATGCCATCCTCCTCACTCCACATGCCATCCTGGCATCTACTAACCATAGGCAGTTTTGCCTGTTTCTAAATGTTCTATCAGTGGGATCCTATAGTACATCTTCTGTGTGTGACGTTTCACTCTACCTTTTCTTGGATTCAACCCTGTTACGTAATTTGTTACATTCTTACACCATCTCCTATCTTCTCCTGTTTTCCTGGTGAGAGAATTTGGGTATTTTCCAGTTTTTGCCAGCCTGGGCATTTCTAAGCAGTGACTATTACCCCCATGGCTGGTATTTCACCCCAGAGGGGTAAGAACTTTCTATCTTGCCCCCTCCACCCTGTGGTGCTGAATCCCTGGATCTTGGAAACCTGAGTGTTCCAAGGTGAGCGGCTGGAGGAGGGGGCCCTGGGCACCTTGGGCAGGATTTTGTCTTTGCAGAGCTTCTGCCAGGTTTCAGGCTGGCCTGGGCTTCCGTGCAGTGTGGGTCCTCCCTGCTCTTTTGGCCCAGGCCAGAGATGCTCAGGCGGGCGGAGAGCCTCAGGCCATGCCGTGGATGATTCTCAGAGGTCTGCAAATCTATAAAGTTGGAGAAGACTTTGTTTTCATTTCAAGATAATAAAGCAAGTTCAATAGGTATGTTCTGGGTCATGTGAATCTAGCGACTTTGGATGAGGCCGTTTATGGAAATGGTCAAGAAGGGTGTGTGGTGGTGTAGGGTTTTCCAGGATTAATTCCTGTTTCCCATTCTGGCCTTGTGAGCCTGAAGGCAGTCATCCCGGTGCCTGAGTGCCTCAGCTGCACAAGGGCAGCAATTACTGCTCCTACCCAGGACCCCCTGTGAGATCTAAGTGAGATCAGGCCTGCCAAGCACTTAGCCCGGCGCTTAATGAACCTCTCAGTGAACCACCACTCCGTTTGTGTGCATTGTCTAGATGGTCCCAAGGCAGGCCATGCTCATAAGGAAAAAAAAAACAACAAAGGGACTTAACAGGGAGGCGAACCAACTTAGAGCTGAGTGAGGACCAAATGACATTATAGTGTGCTGAATAAATGACATTTTCACAGCAGTTTAAATAAAGAAAAGCGGTGTGATCATGGAATACCCCCAGCAGGAGGGCGGAACTCAGAGGTGGCCCCCTGCTGAGCCCCCACAAATTATTCAGCAAAATGTCCACAAGCCCATTGAAATCAATGTTATTAATATGATTTTTATTGGTTTTATCATTTTGTGCACATGTCATTTATAAATATGTTTGGCTTTTATGTGATGGAATTATTTCAAATTTCCCATTCCTCACCTACCTGGCTCTGGAAAAGGCCTGCATGCCTATGACTTTCTGGGGAGCATGTGTGCTCATAGTCCCTTCTGATGCCCTGTTCCTGCAGCGAGCACATCTTCCCCTCTGCATTTGGTGGTTGCTTCTTTTATTCCCAGTTAGGCCTCTGGCCAAGCATAGAATTTGCTTCTTCATTTCCACCAGGACTCACCAAACTTTTGCTTGCATAGTAAGCATTATCGAAGGTTTAAGGATATTTTGGGGAGCGGGGGTAAAGTGCAGGGAGGGTGGTTTACTTTCCAGCAAACAATGATTAAATCAGATGTCTGACATCTCTGTTCTTACATCTTTCGCCTCACCAATGTGCTACTTGAATATTGTTCCCTCCTCTCTCACCTTTTATTTCCAAATTCCAAGTACTTTCTAAAACAATTGTTCTCCGTCTCTTTTGTAGCCTACTCTTCAGAATCTCTCGTTGCCCCCCAACCCAACCTGCTGAGCAGGCCACCCCAGAAAGGTCCTGAGTTTCCCAGAAGAGGAACGTCGTGACCTTATCTGATCCACCTTTTGGGAAGAGTAGGCATTAAAGATGACAGTCTTTTTCATTTATTCATAAAAACAAATTTGCAACAATTTATTAAAAATCGATACCATGCAATAGGGGTACGAGAAAGTCCTCATTTACATTGGATTCTGGCAGTTCCAGTCTAATTTAAAGCATTTGTGCACTAACATCATTGGAAAACGCCTTCAGGCTTATTTCTCTTCGGAAATGTATGGTGTGTTTGCTGCATATAAAAGAACAGAACCGTTAAATAGCTAGAGTCACTTCTGTGGGTCTTGTTATTTTCCAGGAAATTAAATAAAAAATGGGTGAACCTACAGTATCATAAAGACAGAGGATGTACTTTGTGTGTTAACCTAGGAGACGGCACACTCGGGAGTCACGTAAGTCACGATGCACACACTCGCCTCCGACGGTCCAATACTTAAGCTTTTTTTTTTTTCTGCAATGCTGGAATAATATTTCTATGGGTATTTTTCTTGCATGTGTGTGTGCGTGCACGTGTGTGTGCGCGCGTGTGTATACATTATGTACAATGAATTGCCTCTTTCCTTTTGAAAAATTAATGGACTCCTTTAAATTATGTCTGGTTTCGGAGAAATCAAGAGGGCAGATAAATACTGGTGACACACAGGGAGTGACAACACCGGTTTTTAGTGCCTAAACAGAGAATGACTTCAACTTGACCTGTGATGTGTTAACATTTTTTCCCCCCTAAAAGCTACAGTACCTCCATAACCTCTCTTTGGGGGAGGGGAGGGAAGGGAAAGCTATGCTACGTGAAATAGGGTGTTCTGAAATGTTGGCGTTGGTGAGAATCCCGTGGGCCCTTTTGTTGAAGCCTGGTTGGTGACAGCAGTGTGTTCCTGACATCAGTGGTCTGGGAAGAGATTATTGCCTGCCTGTTGAAGCTGCCGTTAGGGTTCTTTAGGGAGGGAGCGACTGCTGGGCTGTGCCGATGTCCTGGACCTTGTCATTCAGGCCTTTCTTCAGCAAAGAATGAACCTGTCTAGGAATGTCACAAAGTCATCGGGAGCCTCTCTGCAGCCTGGAGGCTCTGGTGGCGGGCTGTGCTGGGAGCTCTCTGGCCACCCCTCGGGCTGTCTTGCGGGCTGAAGGTCGTGGTGACACTGATACCTCACAGGTCAGGCCGCTTCACTGTTTGGTACGAAGCTTTCCTGGATAAGATCAAGTTTTGATCCTCAGAGTGACCCTGTGAGGTAGGCAGGACGGGTGTTATTTCAACCCCAGTTTTTTAGGGAGGGGAAACTGAGGCTCAGAGATACACCAGTGACTTGCCCAAGATCACAAAGGGAGTCAGCAGTGGAGGGAGGACTGAGCCCAGGTTCAGTGACTCTTGGGGGTTCAATGAAAAGGGAAAAGTGATCTTATGAGTGAGAATCAGTGTGCTGTCTGCTCACCCCCGTGGTCCTCAAGGGCAGTTCACTGGCTCTGGGGATGGAAGGCTGCCTTCTGGAAGCCAGGGGAAGCCCTTAGCCAGTAACTCTCTTCCTTCTGACGACAGGGATGTCTTTTAGTGGAATGCCCCCAATTCACTTTGGTCAGAAACAAAGTCAGTTGAAAAAAAAACAAAACTAAAACAGAACAAAACCACCCCAGCCAGCCCTTGGGCCCTTATGAGAGAGGTTAAAGTGCACAATCTTTCCATATGGTGTTTGCTGGGAACAGACATTCCGTGATTGGCTCGGGTGGTCCCCCTTGTTACCAGGAACACCTGATACAAACACGAGGACATGGCCAGTGTAGTGGGTGTGTGACCGACTGTCGGTGAACGCTGCAGAGCGAGTCTGCAGTGACATGCCCTAATTCCCCACGGTCCCGGAACGGGTGTTATTGTGTTAATGTGTGGCATTTATCAGAGAATAAGGTTCCACCGGGAGGCATGCGGGGCAGCCTGCTCCGGTGCCCAGCCCTAGTCCGTGGCTGCAGAGCTGTGCCTGGCTGCCCCTCCTGCAGACTCCCTGCTCCAGGAAGGCTGGGCTTGGCTGGACTGGCAGCGGGGGACCTGGCTGCCCTGCTCACCTCCGTCCCCAGAGGGGAGAAGGGCTGGCCTGGGGGGCCACAGCCAGTGATGTGTGTGCAGAGCGGCTGAGGCAGTTTCTCCAGAAGCCCCTCGCCCCTCCCGGGCTGCTTGGTGCCACTCAGTGACTGCTAGCTGGAGTTGTAGTGACTCTTGATTTCCTCTGGATTTTTTTTTTTTTTTGCAAAGTTTGAAATATCCCAGTTCCTCCTGTTTGCAGATATTAAGGAAGAAATCATTTCCATCCCTCTTCTCTGTGAAAGGATAAAAACTTCACAAATAAGGCGCGAGGTCATGTGCCAAGTGCCCCTGTCCTGTCCCCGTGAGTGCCATCTAGCAGTCCCGTCAGGCCAGCGTGGCGCCCAGCTTCTCCGCAGCCAGAGCCGACAGTGTTCCCGTAGCAGATGCCTCTGCTCCGTGTGGTTCTGTCATGGGGGAGGCCCCAGCCCCAGGCCTCCCACCCTTACAGGCCCGAGACCATGACTCGGAAGGAGGGTGGCACGTGTCTGTGGCGGGGGCTGGCGGTGGGGCTGACACAGGGGCTGACACAGCTGGCGTCCACGCCTCCGATGGACGGGAGGTAGGCGTGGTGGAGGATGGGGAGCTGGAGGGACAGCCGGCGCTGGATGCTGCGGCAGGGAGAGAACGAGAGAAGGAGGAGGGTTAGTGAAGGTTCTTGGCCGCTCACCAGAGAGTCCCTTGGACTCGCTTTGGCCGAGAAGCTGATGGAAGGAGCACGCTTTTCTGTGAATCCAAGATGGGTCCATCCTGTTATCCATCATGCAGCCGCCCAGCAGGTACTTCATGCAGCCTACACTCGCCAGCTACTGCCCTGACGTAACACGCTACACAAAGAGGATGTAGATTGGGTGTTCAGCCAGAATTTGGGGGCTGTTACTATAACTGTGCCAGCAGGATTCCTAAAAACAAGGCTCTGAACCTTTCTTGCAGGGCTCTGCTGCAGACGGATCTCATTCTCTACATCTGCAAGCCTTCAAATAGCCTTGGCTTTCAGTTCCATCCCTGAGAGGCTCCGGGGAAGGCCAGACTCTGGCTTCTGTTTAACCACAGTGTTTTGTGGGGGAGGCCAATCAATCCACCCCACTACCTCAAACCAGCAGGATGTGTGCCCAAAGTGTATGTAGGCCATTGATGGAGTCCTGAATGGATGGTGTAGGGGTTCAGAACATGTCACCACCAAATATGCATTTGGGCATATCGAGTATATTGAATTAAGGTACTTGAGAAGCAATCAGCACAAAAGGGATACTCTGAGCTCCTTTGTGCCCTGAAATCTCCCAGGTGAAAGGTGCCTCCTCTGAACCAGGAGAGGAGAAGGCACCTATATGAACAGAGACTGGCAATTTAGGGCCAAGAAGACTCTATAAACCAACCTGATTACTTCATCACTATTTTTCACTATCACCCCAAGCCCAATCCCCTTTGCCGCATCCTTTCTTCAGACTTATTATTTCTTTGTCCAAAAGGCATTGAAGCGTCCTGCTTTCAGGGCTTCTTTGAATCCTGTATCTTTGTGGGGTTCTCATATGTACATATGTGACTACAGAATTAATTTGTTTTCTCTTATTTATCTTAATTATTAGGCCAGTCACAGAACCTGGAAGGGTAGAAGGGAATATTTTTCTTTCCCTACAATGGGGGCAAATGCTTTGCTGCCCCCAATTCCCTATGAGAGTAGAATGTTGGATGTGGGATTTTGAATGAAAATTAAATTTGTGGGCCTCCCCCATGGCGCAGTGGTTGAGCACTGGGCTGCAAAGCTGCCCACAGCCTCTGCAGCCGGTTCCATCCCTGGCTGCTGGCGAGGGTCCCACGTGGCGCTCAGACCTCTCCTGCCACGCCCGCTGCTCCGCTCAGCAGTGTATTTCATCAGTCTGCCTGTTCTGTTCCCCGCTCTGGCTCTGGTGAATCCTCTCACCCTCCCGCGCTTCTGACTGTACCCAGTGCTTGTATAAATAAATAAATCAATCTTAAAAAAAAAAAGAAAATTAAACTTGTGCAATGTCAGCTATGACCTATTCCTTAAGGTAGGGTGGTGCTGACAAAGAGTTCAGGAAAAAGGGGAGCTGACCTGGGAAAATGGTGCGCCGGGAAAGAACCCCAGCCAGGACATTTGTCCTGTGGTTGTCAGAGCCACGACATTCACTGTCTGGTAGGATCCTGTTCACCTTTTCATACATTCAGCAGACACTTGACACAAAGTTACTCAGTGCTGGGACCTGCAGGCCTACTCAGTGCTGGGGACTGTATTCCATCCAGGGGACAAAGGACTCATACCTTACCCTCCAGGTGCTTCCATGCCAGTGGAGGGAACCAACAGACAGACCACTGACGAATGCCACATAACCATCAGCAGTTCTGGATTGTGAGCCAGTGAGGCCTTGGAGCTAATTTGGTTGCTAGGCTATTAATTCTAAATGATCCCAAATGATACTGTAATTGGTGGTTTGATTGTCTTTGCTGATTCCTCACCTGTTTTTGTTACTTCCCAAGGGCCAAGTTTCAGAGTTGAGTTTTCTAATCTCTGCTTCCAATTTGCTATAAACTGGGAAGAACTAAAAATTGCCAGTGGGAACAAAGCTGACTGAGGAGTCCAGGTCCTTATTGAGATGTCACCTTCTCACTGAGTCTTCCCTGACCACCCTATTTAAAGCTATACTCTCTAACTCCTTCCCTGCTTTATTTTTCTCCAAAGTACCTGTCATTTAACATACTATATTTTACTTTTTCAAAGTGAATTATTATCTTCCCAGGTAAAATGTAAGCTCTGTGAAGGGAGAGACTTTTGTCTGTTTTCTTCACTGTGGAATCTGATACACAGTAGTAAGTCTCAGCAAGTTGTTGTTGAATACATGCACTTAGCAAGGTCAGAGTTTACACATAACAAAGACTGTGTGCTACAGTGGAGAACAGGGGATTTGATGTTGGACAGACCCAAGTTCAAATTCTATTTCCAGCACTTAGCAACTGAGTGAGTCTTGTCACTCCCGCCTTGAATGGCAGTTTTTCCCCTCTGTGAAATGAGCACTGTCATGCCACCTGAATCAGGGATTGCCATGGCGTTCCAATGAAACAACACATGTTGGAAATATGCTGCGCATTGGAAACTGTTGTGCAGGAATAATTACTCTTCCGCAATAATCCTCCAGGAGAAGGTACTTACTGTTCTGGGGAGTTTATATCTTCTATAGGATCTTTGCATGTTCGAGAGGGCTCTGTTGTATTCCACTGTAGCTGGGGATTCTGATCGAGGTGATTTTTTAAAATGGCCTTTCCCCCATCTGAATGCAAAACAACAGTACCATTACATTCGGTCACCTTAATTTTTAAAACTCAACAATGCACTATTTTTGGATGCTGCCCAAGGAGAAAGAATGCAAAAGAACCCCTCATCCCTCTGTGTTCTCCAAGCTGTGGCCTCTGTGGGGTCTCCAGGACCAAGGCTGTGAGAAGCCTCCGCCAGGGATAGAAGTGACATGCCTCAGAGGGTATGTATGGCATGCCCTAGGCCTCCTTTTCTCCAAGAAAAAAAGGGGGAAAATTAAGTTGATAAATTTGGAAACGTAACTTAGAAATGAGAGATTCTAATTTTTAAGGCCATTTTCACTGGGGCTGAGGAATGCAATGACAAAGACAAGAAAAAATTCCCTCCAAGTATAGTTTCCTTAAGATTGCCAAGGATTGGACTCCCTCGTGGCCTAAGGGTTAAGTCTCAGTCTATCACCCCTATGGCCTGAGTTCAAATCCCTGGCCAGGTAGATAACTCACATGGTGCCGCAGACCTCTCCTATTTTGCCTGCTGCTCCCCTTAGCAGTGTATTCAGTAAATTCGCCTGTTCTGTTCCACACTCTGTAGCTGGTGAATCCTCTCACTTTTTATACCTCTGGCCTATACCCCAGTTCTTCCATATAAGAAAAAAAAGATTGCCAAGGATTGAAAAAAAAAAAAGTAAATTGTTGGTGGGAGTTATAAATTAGTACAATCTTTTTGAGGGTCCTGCCAATAAGTACCCAACACTAGAGTACATATATTTTACCCAGAAGTTCCACTTCCAGGAACTATCCTAAGGAAATAATTTAAGGATGTGTGTGAACATATATAGAAGATGTTCAAATCAGCATTGTTTATAATATCAAAAAGTTGGAACTAAGTTGAATGTAATGATGAATTAGTTACATACTAAATATATATGTACTAATATATATTCAAAGAAAATATTGGGCTGTTGGAAAATTCATGATGTATTTTTGCGTAGAAAACAGAAAAAACACCTCATGACTTTTCTGACAACCTAATACACACACACACACACACACACACACACTCAAAGAAATACTGTGTAAACACAAAATGATTATATAGGTAAGTAGATGCCTCAGTCTCCTCTGTGCTTCAGAACTACCAGGGGAGATTTAATGAAATATAAAACATGAAAATCTGGCCCCTACCTGAGAGATCTGGGTTCATTTGGTGTGGAAAAGAGCACTGCTTTTATTTCCCCCCGCAGGAGGCAAACCTCACACGTCTGTCATTTTGCACTCATGTGAGTACAGACCTTAGCCATAGATTCTGTATTTATGAACTCGTCTACTCACTAAAATTTATTTGTAACCCCCAAATCAATATTCAGATGCTTTCACTGTCCTTTGCTGACAAAGAGTGTTGAGAAATATGAGTTGCCCAGCATGCACGTTCCCAGATGAGGTCACACAAGGCTTCTTGTGTGAGTTCTCATTCTGTAATTAATTTCTTCTTTTTTGTGATCTATGAAGTGTCACATTTCCCACATTTTTGCATTTTGTACTGATGATTTTGTTGTTCAAGATGCCCCCAAGTGTAGAGCTGTCCAGTGCTCCTAAACTGCGATGTGCCTGATGGAGAAAATAGGAGTGTTCGATAAGGTTAGTTCAGGCGTGAGTTACAGCGCTATTGGCACTGAGTTCAATGTTAATGAATCAATATCTATTAAATAAGGTGTCTTCAACAGAAACACAATAAAACAAAGTTATGTATTGATTGGTTGACAAAAAAGTCAACCCGCAGGAAGGAAAGTTGCAGGAACCTAGCCTTATATTTCCCCTAGGATCAATGGTTCAGTATTCACGAATCCATGGCTCATAGCTAGTTTGCAAAACATAATTACCGTGAATAATGAGTTGACGAAATATCCTTCGGGTAGATTCCAAAAGCCTATTGCTGGGTGAGAACAATTTCGACTCTGAGCAGCATTGTTTGAGAATGTCTATTTCCCTGAACTCTCAGCAACTTTTTGATCTTTGATCTCTGCCAGTCTTACAGGTGAAATGGTATCTTGTTGCAGATTTGATTTATAAGGAATAAGCTTCACTGTCTTCTTATAAGCATAACCAGTTGTATTTACTTTTATGAGAATTCTGTTCATTTTTCTTGTGGATTGTTTTCTTATTAATTTATATATAATTATATATATAATTCACATGTAATTACTTATGATTTGTCCTTACATATGAGGGATAAACATGTTATATCTGAATTATAATACTTTTTGGCTTACTTTGTGGTTTGATTTTTTGACTTCTGATGGCTTTTGCATGGTTCAAAGTTTTCTTTTGTTGTTCAATTTATCAGTCTTTTCTATTGTGGTCTCTGTGTTTTGCATTAAACTGAGAAAGTCTTTCACCTCTCAGAGATTATAAATCAATTCTCTTCTTATGGTTTATTCTAGAACTTTTCTGGTTTCATTTTTTATATTTAAATCTTTTATCCATCTGGAATTTATTTTTGTGTAAGCTGTGAGGTAAGGCTCTAACTTCATTTTTTTCTCAGATGGCTACTCCTTTATCCCATTGAAATGTATTGAATAATTCATTCCCTGCCCCCATTAATTTGAAATGCCCACCAGATACTAATATTACTAGGAATAATTTTTATTTGTTAAATTTCCTTGCTGCTTAACTCAATGTAAGCATTTTTACAATCAATATCCTATATCATAAGAATTTTTACTAGTGCTTTTTAAAGAAAATAATTATTACTCATGTAATAAGAATAAAAAACTAATAATTTTTCATTCACTAAAAATAATTTTACAATCAATTAATGAATATATTCTAGTGACAAAATGCAAATGATAAAGACATATACAAATATGAAAGAATCCCTTCCTACCCAGCCTCCACATATACTGGTCACTTTTACACAGTTGGATACTGTTAATAACTGGGTGTTTGTCCTTCCAAGCCTTTAAAAAATCTATTCGCACATGTACATGTGTATGTGTATTTATGCATATGACAATGCTGGCCTTCACTGTGCTTTTTGATCTTGGAGTTCTTGCCGCATCTGCACAGACAGACCCACCTTGCTTTTTCAGTAGCTGTGCTGTGTGCCTTGTTTGGTGTATCATAATGAATGAAGCCACCCCAAATACGAACATGCAAGTAAATCCAAGTTTTCTTGCCTACAAATAATGAGCTGGGCATCCACAGGTCTACATCTTTGTTGCATGACAGTATTTCCAGGGGGCAGAGCCCTCCTGCTCATGGAATCACTAGGTCAAGAGACTTAACATCAGACATTTGGAAAGGGCCAGACCCACTCCCAAAATGCTGCAGGAGATGCCCATTTCTACACTTTTCACTGACACTGGCATTCTTTTAAAATTCTGCTAAAATAGAGGCAAAATATGGCTTGGTGGTTTCAGCTTGCATTTCTCCAGTGGCTGGCAAAAGTGAGTGTTGTGCTATAGCTCACTAACCATTCCTTTCCTGGACAGTGTGGGTGGGTGAGCATGTGCAGCTGTGAATTGCTGCAGGGAGAAGTGCAGATACACTACTTGCTAAGGACAATGTGCCCCAGCCAGGCCCAGGAATGCCAGCCACATTGCGTGCATGTGCAACTGGAACCCAGGGGTCTGGAAACAGAGGCCCCGGGTGAAGCATGCTCTGTGGCACAGTGGTTAGTGGGTGGTACTTGTGCAGCAGAAACCCCAGGTCTAGGCAGGGTGGGGCTCCAAATGGACTATCAATTGGGGTCAGAGGATGAGGGTCCCAGATGCTCCAACTGTGCCATGTGACTTCTGGCCGGCCCTATCCCCTCTCTGAGCCTCAGTATCTTCATCTGTAAAATGGAAGACAGATGGTGGGCGTCTGATACCCAGGTACCAATACTCTGGGGCCCCCATCTCCTACCTGTGCTCTCGGTGAAGTTCCCCAGGTTGAGGATGTCATTGAGCTCCTGGTAGTGGTTCTGTTTAATGTAAGTGGTCTTTTCTGGAGTGTCCTGAAGCTGCATGGTGACCTCTTCCAAGTCTTTATCCAGCTAGAAGACAAAGGTTGTAGCTGAGCCTAAGTCCTGGCCCAGCCCTAGCCCCACGCCTGGCAGCCAGACCTTGAGGGCCGCTGCCTTCTGGAGGGCATGGAGAGCCAGAGGGTTGTGACATGTTGGGGAAGAGACACAGCTCCCGTTCTGGGACAGGCTCTGGGGACAAGGGAGTGGGCTTGGTAGTGGTGTGTTCAGTGCAGACTTGCCCCTTCATGGAGGAGCCAAGCAAGCCCAGGGAGCAGGCAAGGCCTGGGGGCATCAGAATATAGGCTCTGAAGTTGGACAGACTGAGGAGCAAACCAGGGCTCCCCTCAATGTGTGCTAGTTGGCGAGAATGGTCTTAATTCTTCCATCTGTAGAATGGGATAATAGTCTATCTACTTTGTGGACTTGTGAAGATTTGATGAGTTAATGCATTGAAAGTTTAGCTCAGTGCCTAACACATATAAAGGTAACCTTCTAATATAATAAAATCGCCTTCAGTATTATGATTGGGACCTAGTAAGACCCTTGAGCAGAGGACAGATCTGATCTGCAGGGCTGGTTGGCTGAGTCTCTGTCAGACACTCAGGGCAGAGGGGCCCCCCCCAGAGGAGTTAATCTGGATGGATCCCAGGTGAGCCAGGCTTTAGAAATATCAGATACAGTTACTAGAGAATGTGTGGGTGTTGGGAGGGGTGGTCATTGGGGAGGTTAGTGGGCATCCTATTATAGCGTAAGGGAGATGACTTATAAACTGTAAAGTGCTACTCTGATGTCAGGAGCACAGCCGTTGCACTGGGTAATAGGTTTTCATGAGCAGAAGGGAAGGCAAACTACAAGGCAAGATTGGGACCAAAGGGTGGCGGCAACAGGAGGCCAGATTGTAATTCATTTCCAGGAAGAACAGCCCAGTGTTGGGGGGTTCCTGACAGTGGTTTGTGTTTTGGGTTCCTAAGTAAGTGATGTTTTCATCAGAGAAGTGAGCAAGTGGAAGGTCAATATCCAGGGAATAAAGATGTGGTGTGACCAGTCACAGAGAGGACTGAGACAGAATCAGCAGTGGGTTGGGAGAGACAGAAACCATCCCTAGTTAGCTCCAGCTAAATGGAGGGCCGCCCCAGCCCAAGGCTGTCAGCTTAGACGCACAGACACGCGTAGTGGATCTTGTGGCAGATGGCTGTGAGCCCAGAAGACTTCAGGTCCAGCAAGTAAAAGTACAGAAGGCCCAGTCCCATTTGAATTTCAGAGTTGTTTTGCACTATATATCAAATATTGTATGGGACATATCATACTGAAAATGTACCTGATTGTTTGTCTGATATGCAGATTTCACTGGGTGTCCTGTATTAACCTGACAACTTACGTCTGGCTGCTTCCCTGCGACTGTCTAGCTAGAGACTACTTTTCTCAGTTGCCTCGGTGGCTAAGTGTGGTCATGGAAGTTCCTGCCAGTGTAACTGGAGCAGAAACAAAATGTGTGTAATTTTTGTCTCACTTGCTTGAAAGGCAAGCCCTGTGTGGACTTCCTTTCTCTCGCCTTCCTGAAACAGACACGCCTTCCGGCCAGCTCTAACCTGTGGGCAGTGCAGGCCAGTGTGGAGGAACCTCACCAGCAATGTCCTTGGGGACCACAAGATTCCTTCACTGCCTGCCAACCTGTACCTCTCTCTGCAGGACCATTAGGTGAGAGAAATAAATATATCTTCTTTGGGCCACAATGTTTGGGCCTCTTTGTTACAGCAACTTGGCCAGTATCAGGACTTAACCTAGTTTCTTTTGTTCTTGTCCATTCACTGTTCAGGTTTCCTCCACTAAACATGCAGCCCAAGGACCAGGGGTCTGGCCACATCTCCTGACCCAAAGGGATGGGGTGGTGAAGGGGAAGCTAATTTGGTCTCCTCTTCCTGGTATCAAGAGTTCAGAACTTGAGGTATGGCTTGGGCATAAAGGGGTCTGAGATGCGCTCCTAGGAACACTACCGACCAGTAAGGCCCTTCATTCAGCACGATGTGAGTGGTGGCCGCAGCCTTTCCCATCTGAAAAGTTTCTGTACTTTCTCCTCTCTTGCTGTGTAGATGTGGGTGGTTACTGGGTTGTTTGGGAGAGGGAAAGACTGAATGGTGGTGTGTGTGAGGGGGATGCACACTCAGGAAGTCACGTTAGTCTGAGAGTGCTGAGAACACCTTTTTTTTTTCTGAGGGAGTTTCGAATCTGGGGCATTACTGGACTCCAAGAACCTGGGCCAGATGGGCAACAATCTCCAGTGGAATCTGACAGTGCCTCTGTGTACTGTACATTACCCCCGGTTCTTGCAGCTAGTGCTGCAGCAGATGGGAGCGCATGGCATGATACAGGAACATTCTAGACACTGGGTGGGGGAAGGGGCAGCTCCAAGGCCCCTGTACTCGGTAGAGGGACTCCAGCGGAAGGACAGCCATGGCTGCCGGTGCTGGGAGGTACCTCTGTGATCTTCATTCGCAGGCGGTGGTTTTCTGACTGTAGGCCCTCCAGGCGGGATGTGCTTGCTTGGTTCACGCTGGTGACCGAGGTGGACGTTTTAGAATCTTCTTTTTTCTGATTCTGAGTGAATTGGAATCGCCGGTTCTGAGTTGCTGCATCTGGGTTTGTTCTGAGAGTGATGAGCTGAAAGGAAAAGGGTGGAATTGAAAAGATAGCTTGGGGGTCGCTTCCTTTCCACCATCCACTCTCTCTCAGCAGGTCCTGCATTGAGGCAACATGGGGTTCCAGGAAGGACACAGCCTGGGAGCCAGGAGCTCTGGGCACAGGCTGAGGCAGGCCCCTTCCCCTGAGTCTTGGTTTTCTTCTTTGTCAGTAGAAGTCAGATCCTGACCCTGATTTACCAGCATCTCAACCATCCTGTGCAGCCCACCAGGGCCCCTTAGGCCTGGCACCAGCTGAGGCTCACTCTGTCTCAGGCTTTGCTCCATGTGGAATCAAATAAAACAGTGGTAAGAATAATGGATGGAGAAAAGTGAAAACCTCTGCTTGTTAGCACCATCGATGTAGGGACAGATGGCTGACTAGCTGCCTCAAAGACATTTTTATGTAAGAGAAGAGTTACCATTCAATCTTGATCTTACTCATTTATTTAAATACATCTCTGGTTGGAGGCAGGCTCTGGGCTCACAACTGCAGAGCACGGGCTGAGTGGGCCAGGCCTCCACCCGCTGGAACCTCATTCCGAGGTGAGGAGCTAGGCTCTGTGGTGGGTCTGGAAGATGGTCAGGGTGACAGAATTTCAGGGGGACAAAGTGGCCTGTGCAAATGTGGTGGCCTGGGGCTCAGGGCACTTATGGGGAAGCCAGTTTGGATGCCAGACAGCCTTCTGGGGGAGACTGGAGGAGACCCCAGAGTTCTGAAAGCAAGTGCAGTGTCAGGGGCTTGATCCTGGAGCCAGGAGGGTTGTGGGGAACTATGGAGGTGGAGGAGGCGGGTACCATGATCAGGGCTAAGTTCAAAGAATCAGCTGGTGACTTTGCCAGGCTGGGGAGGAGGCCAGTGTGCAGCGGGAAGTCATGGTGTTGTTTTGGAAACTGTGCAGGTGTTGACAGAGAAGGAGGGAGTGTACACCACAGGTGCACCAGGGAACAATGACATGTTGGTGGACCGACTCGGCCCCAGGTAGATGAGGTGCATGGACAGCCTGTAGGGGACAAAGAACCCCCCCCCCCCTTGAGTGATCTCTTCTGTTCTCCACTTGGGTTGATAACTGCTTCCCAACTCTCAGCTTCCTGCTCTTTCCTTCACTCTGGAGACACAGCCCGCTCAGCCTTTCCTCTACACAGACCAGCCTGCTGCAGGGGGCTGCTAAGTGGTCAGGGTCTCTTGTTTACCTGTCTGCTGCTGGGTAGGATAATGTTTGAAAAATACCTCCTCAGGGGGACCTGAAGTTCTGCTCTTCAGACAAAAGGAAAATATAAATGGCTGCTAAAATGGTTAATATTTTGACTTACTAATATTCCTTCTTGCTACTCTATTTTAAGGGAATAACTAGAAAGAAGAAAAGGGTGTTATATGGGGAAAAAAAACTTCATTTACAGTATAAAAATTCTAGAAAGAGCTGTAATGCTCAACAGCAAGTGGGCAAGCAAATATGGAATGTCCCCTCAATGATGGTTATGAAAGAGGGAAAAAACAAAGGACAGAAAGTTAAGTGGGGAAGAGAACCCCAGATGCTATCACAGCTATGTCCAAAAGCATGTCACTGCTGATGCATCAGACAACAGACTGGGAGAAAAGACATTAGAAATGTTTAGCTTGGGACTCCCTGGTGGCGCAAGGGGTTAAGCACAGCACTATGAAGCTTTCCTCAGCCTTTGCAGCACGAGTTCTAGCCCCGGCAAGGGAGTTACCCACATGGCACGGCAGACCTCTCCTGTCTCGCCCACTGCTCCCCTCTGCGGTGTATTTCAGTCAGTCTGCCTGTTCTGCTCCCGGCTCTGTCTCTGGTGAATCCTCTCATACCTCTGGCCTGTAGCCCAGCTCTTATATGCAAAAATAAATAAATCTTTAAAAAAGAGAAATATTTAGCTTGCATTGAGTTAAATAAGAAAAGAAAACATTCACTGTGATTACTTTTGGGTGATGTGACTATGAGATTTCTAAAAAAACCTGGCTTTAACTTTTCTGCATTTTCCAAGCTTTTTGTGATATGAATTGATTTCATCATCATCACAGAAAAAAAATGTAAGACTTTTGGAAAGCGGAGGAAACCCAGAGATCTCCAGGGCAGTCAGCTGCCAGAGGCCAGGTGCTGAGGGTGAGGCCACTGACTCCTGGCACGTACCTTTGGCACAAATACCAGGCAGAGGGTGATGGTGCTGCAGAAGATGATGACCAGCGCCACGATGCAGAACTGCACATTGGGCTGGTCCCGGGTCAGGAAGGAGACGGCGGCCCCGATGATGCACATGATCCCTACGTTGTAGACGCTCATCCCGATGTACTTGCTGTCGTTGAGCGCGGGGATGCTGACATTGCGCGTTTCCCAAGCTAAGAAACAACCGAACAACTGAAACAGTGAACAGAAAGGGGAGATGATGATTACCAATTGGCGGCACATGCTGCTCCATGTTCTGAAAAACTGCCCGGTGGAGGGTTTCTCAGGAAGCGGGGCGGGGGGTGGGTGGGGGTGAGGGGTGGGGGGAAAGGAGGCTGGGGGCTTTGCTATCTGCCAGATCTTCGGATGTCACCATCTGTCTCCACTCTTGGCATTGGACTGAGTCTGTGGGTACAGACTAGGGATGTTATAGTTGTCTGGTTCGTCTGTGCTCCCACCCGTGGTTCACACACAGACGTGATTTCAACCACCTACCCTCATTCTATAGAGAATGCTGGAAAGGAAAGGAGTAAGAGGAGAGGAGAGAGGAGGAAGGAAGTGGCCTAAGGCCACATAGCAATATGGTGGTAAAAGTGGACTCTAGAAGTCAGTCCAGTCTTTTTTCTTTAAGCCAGAGAGAGCCCCAGTGCCCAGGACTTCCTTACTCCCAATGCACAGAGCCCCTCTGAATGGAGTCTGTGTTTCCTAGCCACCTGGAAACTAGATGTGGTACATGACTAAGTTCTGGAGAACGTCATCTAGGTGGAAGCGGTGTGGCCAAGTTCTGGGAAGTGTCTTCAAAAGGAAAGGGTATTTTCCTCCTTTCTAACTGATGGAGTGGCAGGTGATGGGTGGAGCTCAGGCAACCAGAACAAGGAATGACTGGAACATGAGGCTGGAAGAGGCAAGGACGTGTTCACCCTCAGAACCTTTGGAGGGAGCACGGCCTGCTTTGATTTCATGCTTCTGGTATCTAGAACTATGATAGAATAAATTTCTATTGTTTAAAACCACTAGCTTGTGGCAATGTGTCACTGCAGTCACAGGAAACTGGTATGCTACCCCTGGATGGCCCAGGCCACTTAAAGGGGTACTAAGGGGCCTCCCTGGTGGTGCAGCAGGTTGAACGCCAGGCTGTGAAGCTGTCCGCAGCCTCCACAGCTCCGGTTCTATTCCCGGCCGGCCAGGGAGAATCCCACATGGCGTGGCAGACCTCTCCTTCCTTGCTCGATGCTCCCCTCAGCAGTGCTTTCGGTCTGTCTGCCTGTTCTGCTCCTTGCTCTGTCTGTGGTGAATCCTCTCACCCTCCCGCAACTCTGGCTTGTACCCCAGCTCTTGTATAAATTAAAAAAAGGGGTGCTTAGGCTCCCTGTCATGGAGGTGTGGAACAAGGGAGTTAATGAATATTGGCTGGGGATGCTCGGGGGAGGGGGGTGGAAACGTCTGGCAACAGAGTGGCTCTAGAGGGCCATGCATACTCAGTTCAGTCAGATTCTGTGGTTCTAGAGCAGAAAGGGCCAGGGGGTGGGATTTCAGTCATAACCCCCGGGCTCGGAGTGAATTTGCAGGTTCTTGTGTACACTGGAAATAGTAAAACACTCATGCTGGCAAATACAGCTTTTATTGACGTGATGCAAGTATTTGTTTCACTAGAAGACTATCGTCATCTCCAACCACTTTTGGAAGCAGGTGGGGAAGATAACAGATGGCCAAAGCATTACAGATCAATCCAGTTTAAAGAGTCAATATGATTCACCATAATCTGATTGCACAGTCTTAGGATCAAGGAACTGAGGCTGGAGGAGGGATGCTGGAGAGTTGAGCTTCAGTCTCCACTCACCCAGGGCCGGGGGAGCTCCAGGCATCTCAGTACGCTTCCTAGTCAGGCAGCTCGCGCCTTCCCAGGGTGTCCATGGCCCTGAGGCCTGCCTCCTGCTGACTCTGTCCATTGCTGATGGTTCTGCCCTCAGTCTGTGCCACCAGTCTAAGGCAGTTCTAGTGATATGTCCCCTGTCTCCAAGCCCAGGACCTCTGACCAGTTCTCAAGGTCCCATTTCTACTCTGGGAGCCTCCTGTGGGAACCTCTAGGGTCATTCCCTCATGGGCCCCTGAGGGCCTCCCGCTGGTCCTCAGTTAACCTTGATGGAAACTGCAAAAGAGTCTCAACTATGATGAAGTGGGGGACAATCTTTGTGAAAGAGTCCCTCACACCTGCCCTTCTGCTGTGACCCCTTGAAGGACAAGGCACACTCACTAACAGTTCTCTGAAGCTGCAAGTAAGGCTGCATTTGCGCAGCGCAAGAAACCCTGTTTATTGACCTGGGAGGGGGCTTCAGATCAGTCTTCTGAGGGGAGCCTGGATTTTTCTGTGGAAAAGCCTGAGGAGGGCATAGCAGCCAGCTTCCTCATTGAGGAGTGTAAGTGGAGGCTGGTTTGCACAGGATGTGGACTGAAGATTCAAGGGGGTACCCTAATATAGGGTGGGAAGGGCTGCCCTTTCACAGATCCTTCCTAACTGAAGTTCCACAGTGGCGTGAGGTGGGTTTGACATGAAATCTTAGATCTGAACAAAGGGGTGGAATGGAAAGAGTATTGAGTTTGTAGGGTGGAGGTTCCCAGGTGGTCTTTGGTAAGTCTTTTAAATCTCTAAATCTTCCTCATATGTAAAATGGAGATGATTCCAGTCACCTCCACAGATTTAGAGAGGACCCAATGAAATGTGGGATGTGAATGAATATGCTCTGGATATCCACAGACTGCTGTTGTGGAAACAAGCGGTACAGAGGCCGCTGTGGGGCACACCCATGAGCCCGGGGGTCACTCTCTGGTTAAGAATTTCATGCCACCACTTATTAGCTGGGTGATCTCAGGCATGGAGCCTCAGTGTCCTACATGAGGATGTTATTTATGCCTATCTCGTAGGGTGGTTGTGAGAAATGAGGTAACGCCTGGCAATACCAAGCACAGTGTGGAGTAATGCTTAGTCACAGGGGCTCTGTTTATTTTTATGTTGACGGCGGCCTCTGGGAGTGAAAGCCCTGACAGAACAGCAACCCCCTCACTTACCTCCTGCTCTGCACCTACCATGAGAAGCCCCTTGTAGGCATAAACGATGCCGAGCCAGATTGTCATGTGGGTGTTCTCACAGTGCTCCAGGAGAGGGCGGATGGAGATGTCCCGTCCTGCTGGGTCCGGCTGTGAAAAAGAAAATGGAAACTTAGGGCTAGCACTGGGCACCTTCCTGGTGTAGCAGCCAGGGCTCTGTCTGAGGGCTCTTCTTGCCCCGCTGGGCTATAGCCAGTGCCACTGCCCGGGAGGCCTTTTGGACTCCAGCCTGGGGTTCAGATCTCAATCAGCATTGACTGCCTTCTGTTTGTTGGTAGTGAGTCAGCGCTGCATTCCAGTTGTCTGTGCTCATCATGCCTTTCCAGGGTGAATCAGCACTCCCGAGAGAAGGGAGAGGGTCACTTCTGTGCCCCGAGTACCTAGGATAAGACCTGGCCCACAGCAGGCATCTGTAATGTTTGTTGAAAGGGTGAGTGAGAAGGAGGCACAAAATAGGTCAGGAGGCCTTCAAACATTTCTGGGATGATTCTGGGAAGCTAGAAATAGAGTATCTACTGGCTGGGCCAAACATGGCATCTGCTAAACCCTTTTAAAGAGACCCTCTTATTCACTACCCACGTGGAGGGAGCAATGGTGGCAGCCATGTTACGTACCACACAATCCATCCTAGGCCAGAGCTGACTGGACAAGGGTGGGCAGTTGATCCTAGACAGGTCAGAGATGTATGTGGTTTCCTAGTGCAAAGAGAGGTGGTGGAGAGGACCCTACCCAAGTATGCTCTCTTTCAGCAATTTGAAGTGGGTTTTCTCTTTGGGAGAGAGTCTGCCAGAGGGTAGTAAGAGAAGAAAAAGACTCCCAGGAAATTAAAAAAAAATTTTCTGAACCATGAGAATAAGTTGCAGACATTCTTACCCTTTACTCCTAAATATCTAGCATATATTTCCTAAGAATAAGGAAATTCTCTTACATGACCCCATTACATAACCTCACCAGGAAATTTAACACCGACATAGTATATTATCTGAATATCACCTATGTTCAAATGTCACCAATGGGCCCGATAATGTCCTTTAAGGTAATTGTTTTTCTTTCCTAAGCAAAATTTTATCTACAGCCATGCATTGGTCATACTTGTCATGTCTTTAGTCCCAAATAAGTCCTCAGCCTACTTTGGTCTATCATGTCATTGATAATTCTTAAGAATCCGTTCAGTTATTTTTTATAGAATGTCCCTCAAATAGGTTTATCTAAATGTGTTTTCAGACTAGATGCAGGCTATGCATTTTTGGCAGGAATTCTATGGAGATGATGGTTTTGCCTCCTGGGTGTTTCGCACCAAGGACGCTTGACAGCACTGGGTCCCATTATTGATGATGTTAACTGTGATTATTTGATTTAGGTGATGCCTGCCACATCCCTCCACTTCAGTACCATTTATCTCTAGGAATTAATAAATAATCTGTGAGAGACACTTTGGATATGTGAGTATCCTGTTTCCCCACAAATAGAAGTCCAGTGGTTTTGACATCCTTCAGTGATCCCTAACCAAATCACATTACTTTGGTGGCTGCAAAATGTTGACCTTCAAACTCTGTCATCCTGTTTAAATATTGGCATTCTACTAGAAACAAGATCTTTTCTTTCCTCCCACTTATTTATGTATATTACTTGGATTCATGGGTTCCTTTTGAATTTAGTGTCTTATAATCTATCACCAACATTTTCATGTTGGTGCTCAAACTTTTCCAGATTTGGCCAGTGGAAAGCTCCTTCATGCTGCCTTTCCAAGGGGCCCCTATACTTTTTTGGAGCACATTTTTTTTTTTTTTTTTTACTTCTTGGCACAAAATGTTCCAGGCTTTCCTTTCATTTTTGTTGCCCCAAATCTGGAATTAGCCAGTTCTCTGAGGAATGCTGGATAATGGGATTTAGAAATCAAGATCTGGGTACTAGATGCACTCACTGTTTCTGGGGTATGGTTACTTTTAGGCCTACCTACCTACCTACCTACCTACCTACCTACCTTCATCACCATCCATCCGCCATCCATCCATCCATCCATCCATCCATCCATCCATCCATCATCTATCACCATTCTATCTCCCCATCATCTATCTAGATATAGAGACAATCCAATATCATAGGTTGGATCCTCCTATCTTTTCCCCATTCCACATTTACACCTTCTTTTTCCACAGTGAGATTCATGGTTTCTAAAAACATCAAAATAGTCACTCATTTTCTCAGTTCTATAATAGACACAAAAGAGTTTCAGAATTGCTACATCCATGCACTACCAACAACAAATGTACCAAGTAAACTTGTGAATTTGCTTGCCTTTACAACAGATCCCATGGAGGGAATCTTATCACAGAACTGTATTTAGGATGTTGTGTTCTTCTGGAGCTGCCCTGTGGAGTCCCAGAGTTAAGTAACACCGAGAGTAAAGGATAAGAATCCCTGGGGGCAATCAATAGGAAGAAGGGGTGTGGAAGGCAGTCCTTAGGCAGGTGGGGCACAGTCCAGACCCAGGGGTATGCAAGGCAGTCCTTAGGCAGGTGAGGCACAGAAACCTTGATTCTCTTGGCTCTGCTCACTAGGCCTGGCATTTGAGGCATGCGATGACCTGGGCTCCTGTGAGCTGAGGTCCTTGGGGAATGAAGCTGTTTCTACGTGGAAGCAAGACAAACCAGGAGTGGTGGGTCTGTGTTCTTAGGCTATTTTGTACCCAGATCATCCAGTTGCATGCTCTCTCAAGACTGATTTATATTTCGTTACCCAAACCCTTTGGTTCCATGGTCATCAAGTCCAACATCGGCTGTGTGTTGGAGGGCAGCACGGGGTTCCCGGAGGCCCCTACAGTGGTGGCAGTGGAAAGAAGGAGACACTCCAGGAGAGGTGAACTCAGGAACCACACTCAGAGCTGCCAGGGCTAGAGATTTCCCCTATGCTGATACATAACCAGGAGCTGCTCTGGAGTCTAAGGGTCATGGGGCTTTCAGATATCCTTCCTGTTTAACTTAGGAGACTGAGACAGGACTTGGCCCCAAGGTCAGCAGTGACTCAGTGGGAGAACATGGGTTTCTCTGGTGCAATATGAGGATACGGTGGCCCAGGCCCACTACCAGGTCAAGCATGAGATTGTGTCTATTGTCCTACCATGAAAGGCAACCATTTATAACAGCAGCTCAGCAGCTCAGCAGAGAGGACGGATTCCACCATATGCCATGTTCTGTGAGATGAGGACCCTGTTCATGGGAAGCTGACAATGGTCGGTTGGTTTACATACACCCAGTGACATGGAGCCCCTTATTCCCACACTTGGTCAGACAGTGGCAAAGTTCTTTTATTGCACCAGCACCTTCTCCTGTAGCTCCACTCATTGGTCCCTATCTTTCGCTTGGAGGTCCTAGGAGTAATTCCAAGTTCTCTCCTTGAGTCTGCACACCTTCCTCAGGAGGGCAGGTCTGCAGGGACGGTGCACATCTCCTCCCCCTCAAGTTGACTCTGCTCCTTTCACCTGTCATGTTTTCCACTCACCTGCAGGCCCAGGCTGGTGCTCAATACCCCAGGGGGTGCCCTCTAGCCCCTGTTCTCTTGCCGCAGCTCTCCGTGGCTTTCTAAATTACAGTTCCGCTGGTGATTCACACGTTCCTTTGATCGACTAAGACTCCATCAGGTAGTTTTCATTGAACTGTTAGCTCTGCCTTCCTCCCTGTGCAGCTGACATTTCAGTCTAGTTACCTTTTACTTTGTTAATAGTCTCTTCCCATCCCCTCCATCCTTCCCTCATCCTGGTCTGCTGTGACCTCTTTGTGTTCCAAAGTCTTAATTCTTACATCTGGTCTTTCAGCCCCCACCCATCTCAGTAAATTTAAGCTCGGCCTTGGCTGCAGAGCAGAAAGGCAGCAAAAGCCCAAGGGCCCATCCAGAGCTCTGAGAAGTCAGTGTTCCTGGGGGTGAGTGAGCTGCCTCAACTCCATCGCCTCAGCAAACGCGCACTGATGCAGAAATAAGCCAAACACCTTCTGATCACTGTCCTCAGCCTCACACAGCCCCAGGTCCATGTGCACTGGACACAGACCAGACTGTCAGGGGTTGTGGGTGGACTGAGGTTCATGTACTCATGAGGTAGGGGGAATCTCAAAACCAATTTTAAGAGTCATATCTCTTCTTGTCTGATCTATTCTGATTGTGCTGGGGACTGGAGTTTGGAATGATCTGAGTGGTCACACGCATGGGGAAAGCGGTGTCTGACCTGAAGTGGGGTGGTGGGGTGGGGTGGCTGCCCCACCACCTGAGCATTTACTTCACAGCATCATGCACCAAAGTGCCACTAGAGGGCGCCAAAGACCCACGTGGAAGGTCCGGCCCAGAGGCCATGGATCACCCACTGCTGGGGACACAGTGGTCAAGCGTCACCAACATCCTGTGCTACCCACTGACCTTAAAGGAAGCCAGATTTCTAGACACCATGGAGCACGGGTCCCACTCCTATTCCAGGGCACAAAGGGGCTGCTGGAGAAGGAAATGCCGGAGGGTCCAGAGGGAACTCGGCCACTGCAATCACCTTGCTCCCAGTCTGGGCCAGAGATCACAGGCACTGACCCCTGCACTGCCTGGCATCTCGCATAGGGCCTGAGCTGGGATTTCAGGCTCGCTTCTCCAAATAGCTGTGCATTACAGCATCTCCCCCTGACCTAGGAATGGTTCTCTTGTTCCAAGAGAAATGCTTTTCTCTCTTTATTGTTCTTCCTAACTTGTTTGTTTTCCTGGGCAATTATTTAAGTAATCATCAATCATACATTCATTCAATACATGACTGTCAAGGTTGGTACTGCTGCCTACTGTTCGGGCATGTGGGATACCGGCATAACCAGGACTGACAAGCACCTTGTCCTCGTGGGTCTTCCATTCTAGCAAGATCAGGATGGTTCTGTGAGAGATGGCCACAGAGGGAGAGTGGGATCACCTCACCTGAAAAAAACACCTTAAAGACACCAGGAGCTTCCTTGTCTAAGTGACAATGAGCCAGTTGCTAAGCTGCCAGCCCTATACGTCCTCTTGTTCAAGCTTCATAAGAATCCAACAAGGCATCATAGTCATTTTATAGATGAGGAAACTGAGGC